AAAAAAAAAAAAATGCCAGGGCTGAATATAGCTCAGTGGTTAAGAAAGCTGTCTACTCTTCCAGAAGACCCTGATTTGATTCACAGTGGTTCACAACCATAGTGGCTTTATTCCAAGGGTGTTGTGGAAGTTTTGGTTTATGATATGTAAACATGTTTTTGTTTTGTGGGATATGGAACTGATTCAGGTTGTCCACAGCAGAAAACTATTTGCTGCATTCAGGCTCTAAGAGGGGCGCTTTGCCAGCTGCAGAGTTTAATTCTGAGGACACTGACAGGGACTAAAGGCCAGAGAGCAGAAAGGGGGCTCTGAGAAAGATGATTCCTGTTCCCCTTGCTATTCCTGGTTGCTGTTGATACAGCATGACACCCTGAAACACAGATTGGGCTTGCTCTAAGGAACCCAATGACCCTAACCAGCAGTAAATAGCTAAGGAAAATTATACCCTTTCTCTCCTACCTGGTGTTGGGAGTTGGAAGGGTTTGGGATGGAAAGGGAGAAGGAGCTATAAGAAACCACAATAAAACTGATTTCTAAAAGTATGACAACACCAGGGAATCCTAATCTCTTCTGGCCTTTGCAGGAACGAGGCCTACATGTGGTGCACTGACATAAGTGCAGGCAAAACACCAGTACACATTTAAAAAAATGCCAGGCAGAAGCAGGAGGACTGGTTACTTAAAGCTAACCCGCAGCGTTGTCTCAACAAATAAACAAAAGGAAAGCTTGTATGTGTACTTATAAACATTACGTGTACTTTAAACAAAGTACTGTTCATTCTATAAACCTTGCATTTTAAAAAAAAAGGCAAATGTATTTCTGAAATAAATTCTGACTTACCTTTCTAATGGAATATAATGAACTTATAATAGATACTATGGACATAATCACAATGGCTAGAGCATAGTAATAGTATTCATCAATGCTCCACAGGATAACACTGAACAGTTGGAAAATATAAAATGGGTTGAGAACCTAAAAAAAAAAAGAAAGAAAGCTACATCAAGAGTTAAGAATGAAGTGAGGGGTGTAAACACATGGATTTCCCACCACTTGACACTCTCAACAACCAGGTTCTTAAAAGGATGGGCTCTATATTCTTGCTTCCTACTGAATCTAAAACTTGAGCCAATAAGCTTAAATTATTTACATTCATTTAGATTCATACTAAACCCAAATACAGATTCAACTAGAAAAAGCTAATCTGTATGAATGCACTGTACTTTGTTAAAGTACATTTACTTGTAATAAATTCTGTGTTCTGGGCTAAGATGTAAAACTTCTAATCAAACAGAACAAATGTTTGCTTTCAATGAACTCAAAAGAAAATTTTACTTACATTTCAAGAGTTCATTGACATATAATGAAAGGATAAATATGTGATAATGCGGATCTTTCTTAATTACCTACCAATGTCTTTGACTGCTGATTTTGTGCTTTTCAAAGCACTTTCATGTATACAGTACCATTTTTCTTCAAACAAACAAGGAATTTTTTAGAAATTATTCCAACTTTATCCATAATAGGAGTACCAGGTAAAAATGTTTAAAAAAAATAAAAGATGACTACTTAACAGATACTATCAAAGTATGGGACTTTCTAAATTTCTTAATCATACACTATGTTTGCAGGCAGATCAAATAGCTACATTAAGAAAGTGGTGGAAACAATCATGTTTCTAATAAAGTATCCACCCAATACAACTTTTTATCTACAGCCAAAAACCTCAACAAAGACTGGCAAGCCTTTTTTCTACGCACTCACTCACCAACTTCCTGTATATTTTCATAATACTTTATTCACACTGCTAAGGCAATTATAAATGAATCCTTACTGCAAGAACTAACATGCTTCCTTTCAGACCATGCTAAAAGTAAAGTCAAATTTCCAGTACTATATATATACACCATGTGAAGTGAAAAAAGTAGCAAAAGGTTACACATACTTGTATGGCAGGACAAGATTTAGATGTGAGACACACAAAAAAAGAAATTAATATTTTGAAAAAAAAAGTTTCATACTCATACCTTTTCTAACACACAAGAATTTTGCTTTCCAAGTAAAATATAAAACGAAGGAGAAAAGCAAGAATATCTTCTTAAACACGACTATTTCCAAATTGATGAATCTAATGATTTACACACAACAGTCTTACCTCTTTAATTAGAAGCTTAAAAACAGAAGGCACTTTTACAGCAATTTCATTTACTCCATAAAGCAACTTTCTATGACAGAAAAATACAGTAACTGTATTAATAGTATGATCTGGGAAAAGAACTGTTAAATATGGTTAAAGCCAATCATTCTTAGATTCATGTTTTTTAAATCTCATGTTTCATGACTAAAACACTCTACTTAAATAAAGTTGCTGGGTCATAGAGGTACAAGCCTTTAATCTCAGCATTCAGGAAGGAGAGGAAGACCAGCCTGGCGTACAGAGTGAGTTCCAGGACAGCCAGGAAAGGATACACAGGGAAATCCTGTCTCATAAGTGAGTAAAATAAAATATGCTATTTAATCAAAGAAATAATGATAACCAAACTCTGAGCAGTTTACTTCATTTTGACTACTAATTTTACATGTGACAAGTAACTTTTTTACTAGTCAATAATAACTATGTAAGCAAAAGGCTGTTTTGTTATGTCTATAGGCCTTTCTGAAATTCAGGCTACCTTCAAACTCATGGGAATCCTCCTGTCTCAACTTCCCAAGTGCTGGGAACAACCAGTGTAAGCCACCACAACTAACTAAGGTTCTCTTCTTGAACAAAGAAAAAAAAAAATTATTTCATTTTTATTTCATATGAATGAGTGCTTGTATCACATGCATGCACGGCCTAACAAGGCCAGGACAGCATTTGGTGCTCCTGGGACCGAAGTTACAGACAGTTGTGAATTGCCATGTAGGTGCTGGGAACCAAATTCAGGTCCTCTAGAAGAACACCCAGTGCTCTTAACCACTGAGACATCTTCTTCAGCCCCGAGAGCAACTGTTATTAAAATTTAAATTACAACTTACTTTTGTAAGAAATTAAATACATTTGAGAAATCTTACCCTACATTTTTTTTTCTAGCAAAAATAGAAAGTTCATTTCAAAAAATCACACATCTTTTAGAAACTTTCGTAAAGGTGCTTAGAGGCTGGAGGCGCTATCCCACTGTCAGAGTGGCTGCCAACCATACACAAGGCTTCAATTAATTCCAAACAACTGCATAAACCAAGCACGGTGTAGCGCTTTCCTGGAAGTCCAGCACCTGGGAAGCAAATGCAAGACCAGGAGTTCAAAGACATCCATACTTGGCTACACAGTGAGTGAGTTCAGGTGGGGGTTGTTAATGAGGCCTGGGGATATACAGAGCTCAACATAGAGTGTTTGCCTGCCCTAAGTAAGGCCCTGAATTCCACCCTAGCTCTGCTCCCTCTAAAACTCATAGGTTCTTCATTTCAATAGTACACTTTGTATGCTGTTCCAATTATAGCCTTTTATAAGGTATTAAGACTGAATTTTCTTGTTCAAACATTGAAAATATGTTAAAACAGTACAAAAAATTCCAATTCAATCAAAGAAACTAACATTTATCTTTAAAATATGCAATATACTGGCATTTGTTTGTTTTTGGAGACAGGGTTTCTTTGTGTAGCCCTGGCTGTCCTAGAACTCACTTTGTAGACCAGGCTGGTCTCAAACTCAAAGAAATCCACCTGCCTCTGCCTCCTGAGTTATGGGATTAAAGGCATGCACCACCACACCTGGTGACAATAGCCTATTTTCATACAAATAACATGAAAACCTGTGGCTCCCACTTTATTGTTTTATGTGGGATGTCCCAGCTCGTGCTTTAAATTCCCATTGCAGGAGATCTACGGTGCTACTAGTTTACAGCACACACCATCATCTTATGTCTGACTGAGAATGACACCCCACCCACTAAACAAAACATCCCACTTCAGAGACAGAAGAATGTGGAAAATCTTAGAAGTAATGAAATTAATTTAAAATTAAAATTTAAGGGATACATATTAGCTTTTAACATTTTCTATATTTCTTAAACTGTGGGAGTTCTGCTCAAAAATCAGTAAGGTTGTAACTAATAGTATGTAGTGTTTTAACTACCTATGTTATATGCTGGAGAATTGTCTATATACTTCTGAATTTAGGAGTTTGAGAACAGATCTACTTTAGTTGGATAAAGTTACCTGTAGGCATGCATCCCCTTTGTCAGTCCTGCACTATGCTTTTCATAAATTGATGTACAAGAAACACCTTCATCCAGTCCCCTAAATAAATCCAAAGTTTTTACTTTAAACAAAGTTTAAAATATCCAAATTAATTAATGCCTCATTTTGCTATATGCTTTACTTTAAAACTGTAACTTCCTTACAAATTCTTAACAAGAAAGTCATGAGAATTTTAAAAGCTCAAGTTCTTAATATAAAACAATGAATAGCTTAAGTCTCAAAACACAACTAAGTCATCCACTGTTATGGCTCTAACTAATACTTTATAAATAATATACACAGTAGCATTATCCTTTCAGTTTCCAAAACTTATGATTCAACAATCAACTAATAAAACTTAAGATAAAGTGTAACTAATGAGAATTCCAAACTAAAGATTTAGGTTTTTTTAATCATCTTTTTAGCTTTAAATTAAAACATTCTATCCATTTTCTTTCACAATGCATCAATATAAGTCCTTTCCCAAACAACTACATAGCTAGTTTCAAAGTACAGAATTTACAATTATAAATGTCTGCGAGTTAAAACAATCCTAACTGGGATCCAACTAACATATCTGTTGTCTCCAAAAAAAAAAAAAAAAAAGTCGTAATTATGCTTGTAATAAATGATACCAGTCAAACAACTCTAAAGCAAAGAGAATTAAACTCTACTTATTCCCTACATTACATATAGGAAAGCTAAACTCAACAACTTGATATTGTTAAGGTAAGCTTAAATTCTGTAAGTCTCAATGGCTGACAGAGACCAGGCAACAAGTATATCAAACATTCTCCCCACCAGAGCTCCTGACTTCTCTGGAATGCAGTACAAAGAGGGACTAGCAACAAAGTATTTAACAAGACACTGGAACTTTTTTTCTTAAAGCAATAATTCTTCCACTTTAAAAGAAGACAGGAGAAAATCAGCAGGCCCATTCCAGAACATCCTCAGTATTCCAAAGTAAGCATTCCAGGTTATTAACTTACTTAAATTTTTTGTTGTTGTTGTTGTTTCTACTGTTAAAACTTAGAACATTCTCTGGCATTCTAATGCAATGGTATTTAATTTGTGTTTGAAATAGTGAACAAGAGCACAACACAGAATCCTTAGGAGGTTAAAACAGGAAACTGGACACAAAATGAAACAAAAAAGCAGCAAGACCTCATCTTAAATAGTCTAAACCATAGTATTTATACAGTGTTGATTTCTACATACACACAACAAATAACAGATTACTCCAATTAGTCCTATCCAAAAATAATATATTTGCCAGTGTCATTTCTCATCAAAATATTAAAATTTTCTAAATACAGTGTACAAGTGAATGGGACTACAAAAAGAAATATTAGACACTTTAGAGAAAAGCATGGGGGATAGGGAATGGGCTCAGTAGCAGAATCACTGCTTATGGTCATCACCCAGTGCATACCGAAAATAAAGTTAAAGCAAAACAACAACTTAAAAAGCTAAGCTCTAAGATATACTCAAATTCATGCACATCAGACTCCTGGCTACTGGGATCACAAGCATGAACCACTGTATTTAGTTTTCTTCTACATTTTATGTAAAATTTACCAAGGAACAAGTTGCAGATGAGACTTACTTTAAAATGGTTAATAAAACTTCAAATAAAACTAGAGTTTTTAATAAGCGGATAAAGTAACGAAATAAAGTCTCTTTGATTTTGTTAACATGAGAATATAGCCTCTTTTACTAAAGCATTTACAAGAAAAGAAAGAAACTTACTTTAAGAAATCAAAATTGTGAATGGCATCATTCCAGAAATATCTTATGCTATGGTGGGTAAAATAACGCATCTGTAGAACACACATAATATTACATCAAAAGGCTTATCATTACCTCTTATAACATGTCAAAACAATCAACTTTCCATTAAGCCTAAAATTTTGGGAGGAGTGGAGGGAGGAGAAACTGGTCAGGATGTAATATGTTAGAGAAAACAAAAAAACAAAACAAAACAAAAAAATCCTAAAGTTTTTTTTAGTGACAGATATTTTACAAAGCATGTAATTTTATGTCAGCAGTAACTGCAAATGTAAAATTATAATGTATCTTTCATAATGTAGAATGGTAATAATTACAGTACCTGTTGTGACTGAGTCTGTGAGAATTTGTTCATCTCACACCTATTTTCTTCAGTCAGACTCTCAGTTAAGTGAACAGCATGGCCATTAGAAATCTTATTAACTAAAGATTTTGCATTCAAATTTGGTTGAGTTTCCAGAGGAAGAAAGTGAATTTTTGCACAAAACCACATTCTAAATTCATCCTTAGAAGAAAGAAAGAAAGAAAGAAAGAAAGAAAGGTCAAGTTATTTAGACATATTAAAGGACTGTCTGTATTTTTCTGTAAACCCCATTATTTACAAATTTGGTTATCTCTTACTGAGAGAGTATTTCCTACTTTTTAGCAAGAAAAATTTTTCATCAACTTTGACACATTACCAATACATTTTAGATTCCATAAAAGTTCACAACTCCTTAATTTACTCACATATACACTCAACATTAAATATTACAGCCTCTTAAATGCTTCCAATTAAGGTTCTAAACAAACTGCTTAAGATGTAATTTCACAGTCAATGGATGGCCTAGGCAATGAGGTATCTGGGCCATATGGGCCATAGTCCTAAATGGCCAGGACCTTAATATCTAACAACCTGGGGCATGAAGAGCTGTTAAGAGGATAACCTCAGCAGCTTTAAGATTCCTTCTCTTTTATCCTAATCACTGGAACAGTATTCACATCAAAGCTGTACTGGAAAAATACTGAACATTCCTCACTAGGTCCTAGGAATAAAGTCACAGTCACTTATTAGGTCCTAGGAATAAAGTCACAGTCACTTATTCTGGACAGTTTACACAAAGCCACTATTTTACTCTTTGAATAATCAGCTACTAGTAAATAGATACACAGACTTACAGTGGTCCTGAGTAGCACCACTTCACAGTCTTTAACTGCAGCTCTAATACATGTGGCTTTCACTCGCCACTCAGGCATCCAGTAGAGGAGGAGGAGGAGAAAACCACCAGTACAAATCACTCCTACAAAAACAATGGCGAGCTTCCAGTGGCATAAGTTATAGCCATGAATCTCCTGCACAGAAATGGCAATCGCACAATTAATGAGCAAATAATAAGGCAGATAAACTAAAACTTGTTTCTAAGATACATACTATTTTCTCAACTGATAATTTATCTAAGTTATTTTCAGTAAGATCATTGTACAAATTTTAGTTTAATAGTAAAATTTGATGTTTTGTATTTATATCTGATAAATGTGCTACTAACAGATTGCATATATACATATATATTTAAGATTAATGAGCAAATAAGGCAGATACACTAAAACTTGTTTCTAAGACACAATAGTCAATCAAATAAAATCAAATAGTCAATCACACAATAGTCAATCAAATAAAATCTGTGTGTACCATGTGTATACAGTGCCCTAAGACCAGAAAGGGGCACTGGAAATGGAGTTACAAATGGTTGTAAGCCTCCATGCGGATGCTAAGAATCAAATCTGGGTCCTCTAGAAGAGCAGCCAGTGGTTTTAACCACTCACCAAACCAACTCGCCAGTCCCTTTCCTTATAATTTTTATCATTTCATTGTTAAAAGCTTAAGGCTTAGCTGAGCCAGGTGTGGTGGCACATACTTTTAATCCCAGCGCTCAGGAGATAGATGTCTGAGTTTGGGGCCAGCCTAGTCCAGGAGTACAGGACAGCCAAGAATACACATAAAACAACAACAAAAAAGGTTTGAAACTGTCAACAACAACAAAAAAAAAAGTAAGAAAAACTTTTGGAATCAAGTGGACTTTCCTCAAATTCTGTCGTATATTTTTTAAATGTTCTACTTGAATACTCCTGTTAAGTCACATAGCTATGAAATACATCTAAAATTACTTGTTTTTCAGTATATGGACTCGGGTATTTAAAAATCCTGCCCCCACTTCAGGGTGAAACTGTTTTATGCTGCAGCAGAGGCATGCTTCTCATGGAGAGATAAATTGGCCATTCACACTACAAGAGAAACTAAAACCTTCAACAATTAAAACAAAACAAAAACTAATAAAGAAAAAAATGGGAAAAGGCTATATACTGAAATCCAACCAATATGGGCTTGCTCTTCTAGAGGAACCTGGTTCAATTCCCAGCACCCACATGGCAGCTCATACCTGTCTTTAACTCCAGTTCCAGGGCTTCTAATACCTCAAACAGACATACACACAGACAAAATACAAGTGAACATAAAATAGAAATAAATTATTTTAAAAAATCCAACCAACATAGTTGTTATATAACCCAAATTCAGATAACCAGTTAGAATTCCAGAAGGTGGTAGCACATACCTTTAATCTCCCAGCACTTGGGAGGCAGAGGCAGGTGAATCTCTGAATTGAAGGCCAGCCTGGTCTATAGAGTGAGTTCCAGGACAGCCAGGGCAACACAGAGAGACCCTGCCTGGAAAAACAAAATAGTAACAACAACCACCTCAAGTCAGGCCAGGTGTAATGGAATGTGCCTTTGATTCTAGGACTTGGAAAGCACAAGCAGGTAGAACTCGAGACTGAAGTCAGCCTGGCCTATCTAACAAGTTCCAGGCCAACCATGGCTTCATAGTTAGATTTTGTGGCCTAAAACAAGGAAAACACACACACACACACACACACACACACAGCCTTAGTCAGGGTACAAAAATTGAGATTTATGTGTAGTGGGGTTCTACTGGGGATCAAACATAGATCCTCAGTACATTAGCTGGACAATCACTCCACCACTGGGCTACGCTGGTTTTTTTTATCTTTTTTATTTCCTAGAAACTTATAAAAGCTAGTTACCATTTCATCTTCTTGACCCTTGTTGATAGTCTTTTTTTCTTCTTTGTCCATTTCTACAGTGGCTTGAAAGATGCTGTGCTTCACAACTGGTGAAGATAACTGCAGGAAAAGAAACAATTGTTGGCTTTCTTTAAAAACAGATCTTGGCTGTCCACCAGAACTAGATGGTAAAACCCCACTGCTGATGACACCACACACTGAGAAATCAAGTTGGAACAGAGCTAGAAATTGTCCCATATGGATAGCTTTCCTAGTGCCAAAAGGTGCTGTGCAAGCTGCTACTGGAGAAGTCACTGGTCTTAACCAGGTGTAGACTGTACTACAATAATAACCTGTCAGGCAAAACATCCTCATGGGTACAATAGGGTCATGACTGTTATATACATAACTTTCTGATTGGATTTGGGGCCCGTTTCACAGGAGGGAAATCATGCTTTGACCTATAAACCTGAACTATAGCCCTGTGGCTGGGCAAGTCTCAGGTCCTGGCGTGAACAAACCTATTATTCTTGTTTTGTCTAAACTTCAAATGTTTAGTAGATTATCACTGCTCCCAATCTTGGACAGAGAAACATCTTTCTGCAGTTAATGAAGCAATTCATAACTGGTAAAGTAGCTGTTAAAAGCTCAGCCCTAAACAGGACATCTATTTCTTCCTCTCCAAGGCTCAAGGAACACCATGGAATTATAGAGGGAGGGGACAGAGAAAAAAAGAAAAGAACCAAAAGATGGAGAGAAATATTGTGAAATATTGCCCTCAACACTGACAGCTGCACTCACAACCTCACAACAACAAATATGGCCCAGCAACATTTCACAGTGGGCAGAGAAGGGGCTCATGGGACCCTACACACCTGAGGAGTGACTGGCAGTTAATGGTTGCTGGGGGAGGAGAGCAATTTTTTCAGTGGAATAGCCACTAGTGAGTTACCCAATCAACCCTAATTAAGTTCAATGGGTAATACCAAAACAAAAGAACATGAAAGTAGGAAAGCTTGTTTAGAAAAACAAAGAATTCTGTGGAAGTAGGAGACAAGATGACAATGGGGGTGGAGGGATGGGTTTGCAAAAATATATTTTATGTGTATGAAACTGTCAAAGAATGATTAATCATAAAAAAACAAAAACAAACAGAACACTTTAATATACCACGGTGGTAGCTCACAACTTTAATCTCAACCCAACACTTGGAAGAGTAAGCAAATCTGTGAGTTCAAGGCCAGCCTGGTTTACATAGTGAACTCTAGGCCAGGCAAAGGTACACAGTTACATAGACTCTATCTCAACAACCGCCTTTAATTTTTTTTTTTTTTTTTTTTTGTTTTTTATAGTTTTGGTGTTTCCAGACAGGGTTTCTCTGTGTGGCCCTGGCTGTCCTGGAACTCTGTAGACCATGCTGGCCTCAAACTCAGAGATCCGCCTGCGTCTGCCCCTCTATCCCTGCCTCCCGAGTGCTGCGATTGTGCACTACCATCATCTAGCCAAACTTAATTTTTTTTAACAAACTTTAATTTCTATTACCTTGGGAAGAAAAATGGCACTGTTTTACATTTTATAAATTTCTTTAGTAATCTCTTTTAGTAATAAAAATAAAAATAATCTTCCCTTTTTAGTAACCTCATTGGCTGGGTGTCAGTGAACTCAGTGACAAGCTTCATAAAGAGTAAGGAACAATCAGGACTGTTCAGCCAGTGTACCTAGAATGGCTAGTTGAATGTTATCCCAATAAAAAAAATTTTGGCTAGGAATTACTAATATGCATGTAACACATTCAGTATTTGTTAAGATCCAAACCTGGTGGTACACACCTATAATTAATTCCAGCATTCAGGAGGCAGAGCCAGGGTAATCATGAGTTTGAGGAGTCTGAGCTACTTAAGCTTAGGGAGACTCCTCTCCTACCTCATACACATTCCCCACTGAGCTTGGTTTTCTGGCTGTTGCCTGCTGCTTTACTCTAAAGCATTTTAGCTCAAGGTAGATGAGTAAGACTCCCCTAAAGCTGATGACTTAAAAAAGATTATTTCTCTCATAAGTTAAATTGTTACATACCAAAGCTTCAGCAGGTATGGGTTTTACCGTCATAAACAGTGGAGGACCAAGAACTGGAGTGTCATTGTTTCTGAGGTGCTGAGGAAGCCTGCATAGGACACTGTGTATTACAGCTGAGTATTCTCCCACTGGGCTGTATCTGCAGCCCCCAGAAGACTTCCAGTGAGTGCAACCAAACAGCAATCAAAAATATTTAAGAGAAAGCACCTCTACATGTACACTTTTTTTTTTTTATCATGAATAGCAAAGGAATAAACATGGGTTAAATGAAAACATTCCACCACCTTATGTAAGTCGTTAAGCACCTCAGACTTTAGCACCTGGCAGTCCTAGCATTAGCTGTCCATAATACAAATGGCCAGTTAGATTTAAGTCATCGGTTTTAACCTCTTCTTCCCTCGCTGGCCTAGAGCTCACTATGTAGACCAGCTAGGCCTTGAATTCATAGATCTACCTGACTGCTGAACTAAAGGCATCTGTCACCACACTCAGAAAGCTCTAACTTGTAATACAGTCTCAACACACACACCCAGCATAAACAAAACTCTTTTTAACAACATCCACAGTAACTATAAAAGCTTACAGGCTAAAACTGAAAAGTCTGAGTCACTGCATTAAAACAAGGACCTGAATTTGACACTCTGAATCCACAGTGGAAGAGAATGGCCTCCTGAAAGCTATCCTGACACCCAACATGAGCTTCAAAGGGAGTGTGCACATGCACACCACACACTAAAAATAAGCACATAAAACAGGGCTTGTCTCTACAGAATACAGTGGAACACTATCACCTCCCTCAATTTAGACTGCATGCTGCCTCTGCCTCCCAGAGCACTAGGGCTAGAGGCATGTACCACCTCACCCAGCTTGGGGCTAATTTTGATAACCAACTTTGGTCATTTCCCATCACCACCATCTTTACATAGAGAGAAACTACTTCCAGTCTTTAAACTTAAATTTTTATTTTATTACTGTTTGTGTGTGAGAGTGTAGATGGGCATTCCAGAATGTGTGTGGTGATCAAGGCAACTGAGTTAGTTCTCACCTTCTACCATGAGTGACAGATACTGAATTCATCTCAGGTTTGTGAGACAAGCACTTTTACCCACTGAACCATCTCACTAGCCCCTGCTTCCAGTTTTTATAATCCTCAGTTACAAATAGTGATCAGATTTTTCCACATGTCTAACACAACAATAGACAAGAATGAAAAACGATTTAATGAAGTAAACATGAGGCAATGAAAGAAACTTGTAATGAACACTGTGAAGCTAAAACAACATGCTCTACACTTGTTCCGGTTTACTGAAGACAGACAGATCAGCAAACTCAACAGGGCCCAGCAGTCCCTAAGCTGCTAAGGCTGGGAGTCAAGGGAGACACATAAATTATGCCACAAACAAAAGATCTGTTAGAAATAAAGAGCAATGTGAGCATGGTGGCCCACCTATAAACCTAGAAGCTAAAAAGTAGAGGCAGAAGGATCAAAGTTCATGGTCAGCCTCAGCTACAGGCCAGCTTGGACTACACGAGATCCTGCCTCAAAAAAAAAAAAAAAAAACCCAAAACAACAAGAACAAAACACACAAACACACAAGGGAGGAAAGAGAAAGGAAAAGGTCCCCTAACTTTCTTTCCTTTTTTTTTTGGACAAGGTTTCACTATGTAGCACCAGCTGGCCTCAAACTTATTTGTACACCATGCTGGCTACAGAGATGCCCTGCCTCTCTACTGGATTAAAGGTATTTGCCACTACACCTAGCTCCAAGCCTTCAACTAAATACTTACTGAGATAAACTTACTAAATACTTGCCAAGACATTGTCAGTGCCAAACCCCCACGCCCCAAGACAGACAGACAGAGACAAAAATACACAGACATTCATTGCACCCTTTTTCCATAGGTCTTGCTATATACAAATGCCTGGCCACATACTTACTATGTATGTAGCCCAGACTAGAGCAAACTCATGGCAACCCTTTTTAGCTCAGCCTCCAGAGTGCTGGGATTATAGAAATGAACCAGTATGACTAGCTGGAATTGCCATTAAAAGCCAATGTTTTCATTGGGCCCATTTACTATTTACAATTTTCTCTAAATTTCGTTAAGTTGACCTTTATTTAGCATTAAGTATACTCCCAAGATCTTGAACAGTTAAAAAAAAAAAAAAAATAGAAAGAACTACTGCAATTATTTTTGAGTTATCATATGGTAATTTATTGGGTAAGACAACCTATACTTAAATTTTCCTAAATAATCACTGACCATATTACATTGAAGCTCTTTATACAAGAATTACTTCTCTGCAAGTCAACTGCTTTAAGACAAAAGTAACACCTTACAAATTTTACCAAAGTTATCAAATGATAAAATTAATTTAAAGATAAAATTGTTCTAAAAATCATCCATTATCACTAACTTTACATATAATCATACACCTCAGAGGAAACTACCAAGAATTAACCCTTCAAATACACTTGGAAAACTAATAATTCCAACTGTATTTACATTTAAAACATACCTACTATAAATGTATAATTAAATGTAAATGTTTATATAAATAAATCTGTAATATTTCAATGACTCCATAAAGATAAAAAATATAAAAATATCTTAAAATACAATGTATATTATGCATTTAATATGCAGTTATTGTCATATAGCCAGTTAAGACATTTGAATCATTAACAGCAACTTTCAAAAACACACTGAACAAAGCACACTTTTAGTGACATTTTCCCAATCAATTTCCACATCACAAAAGATAAAGAAAATTTTCTTACCAATAGCATTACACCATTGTTCCTCTCTGATGCTGATACTTCAGCTTTCAAAAGCTGGCTGTTTGTATAAAATTAAACCATAAAAATCCATACAAACATTAGAATTTTATGCCAAAATATTGATTGCTTTTAAAATAATTAATATACTGAAATATAGTACTTTTTAATTCAGCATATTTCCATGAGTTTTAGAAGATAGACACTTCTGTTCTTTGTCACTGGTAGAACTATTTGAATAAACCCTACTCTGCTAGCACACACAAGCACTAGTCACAATGCAGGCCTGAATCTTGATGCTATCTAGGCAGCAAAGGGCTAGGCTATTGTCCTTAGCCAAACCCTTCCTTGAATTTATAATGAAATGGATTTGCTTCATGGGGAGGGGAAAAAAATGCAGTGGAGGACAAAGTGAAACTATCAGAAATAAAAGTCACCAAGTTTAATGTAATGCTTACTCCCTAATGCGCACATTCCATAATTATTAAGAACCACTGAAATTAGTCTTTAGTGTGTTCTACAAGTTGCCAGACTATTTCTTCAAACAAGACAAACTGGCATCAATAGGGAAAGAACTCCAAAAATGTCTTAGATGTCTTGTTTTCCATAAGCATAATCTGTTCATTTGAGCCAAATGTGGTGTATATAGCTGTAATCCAGCATTTAGGAGACTGACGCAGAATAATGAATTCAAGGCCCTGTCTCAAAACAGAATTCCCAAAAGGTTCTTTTCGCAAGGTACTTTACAGAATGACCAGTGACTTAACTAAAACTTTAAGCACAGCAATTTTAAGTACTATATTTTGTTTTTCTTTGGAAGAAGGACTCTCATGTGGCCCAGGCTGGTCCTGCACTCACTCTCTAATTGTTTCTGACCTCCACATGAATGCTGTGGCATGCAAATGCCTGCATCCCCACATGATCTATATACACAAATGAAACTTTATAAACAAACATTTAACCCCCTTTTTTTTTTCGGGAGATAAGATCCTGATTATAAACACAGCAACTGACATTCTCAATATTATTTAAATTTATAGCACCCACACAAACCCACAATTCAAAATTTCTATTTTGTGCTACTGAAATAAAATGTGTCCTGGAACACTTAAGTTCTGTCTATATAAATCCCTATGTAAAAAGAGTACCAAAATCTGTGACAACTCTGAGGACAGAACTGAACTTCAAATCAGCTCCTAACAATACAAATGACATAATATAGCTTAATGAATACATGGAAATTTTACAGATACCAGCTAAATTTTAACAAAGGTTTTAGCAATGACCACTTTATCACTTCCCATCTCAGACTTTCTCTTATAATACATGCTTTTGTTTCTGTGTTTAGGCTTAAGGAAGACTATTGTGTCCAATACACACCAAACCAAAACTGTACTTACATTTTTCAAGTAAACTTTTTGTATAATGTTTTTTCTATATTATATACTGCAATGTGATAGGTATAACAAGGTAAGTTATAATTAGGCCATAACAATATAATTACCTATATTGGGAATAATATGAAGCATGAGTTCAGCCCACACTATTTTAAAATCACTTATTATATATATTATTTTTAAAATGGGCATTTTTATTTACAGGTATCCCATATGGTTAACACTGTCCTCATGAAACAAAACAGTTTATATGAAAGTTTGTTTGGTTGGTTGGCTGATGTTTTAAAGACAGAGTCTCAGGTAACTCAGGCTGCCCTCCAACTTCCTATGCAACTAAGGCTGACCTGGAGCCTCTACCTCCAGAGTGTTGGGATTATAAGCATATGCCATACCACCCAAACAGTTTACATTTTTAAGATGTCTATTTAAGGAGGAAAGGGGAAAGGCAGTGGAGAAGTAATAGGGTGAGACAATGACATATATATAAAAGCACCATATTAAAAACTATTTTGTATGCAAACCTAAAATTTAATTTAATTTAATTTAATTTAAAAAATAATGGTGCATGCTGTAATGCTAGTGTTGGGAGAGCGGTAGGAAGATCAAGAATTCAAGGTCTCATGAAACCCCTGCTCAGATGTAGCCCATAGATTCAGTCTCCAAGTGGGGCCCTAGTAAGGGGAACGGGAACTGTCTCTGGCATTAACTCAGTGGCTGGCCCTCTGATCACATCCCCTTGGTGGGGGAAGAGGAGGTAGCCTTGCCAGGCCACAGAGGAAGACAATGTGGCCAGGCCTAATGAGAGTTGATAGGCTAGGGTCAGACAGAATGGAAGGAGGCCCTCCCCTATCAGTGAGCTAGGGGAAGGGCATAGGGGGAAAAGAGGGAGGGAGGGTGGTATTGGGAGAAGAGGCGGGAGGGGGCCACAGCTGGGATACAAAGTGAATAAATTATAATAAATAATAATTAAATTTATTAAAATTAAAAAAAACAAATTCAAGGTCTCTTTAGCTGCATGAAAATTTGAGCTCAGCTTCAAAGATACTTTCAATTATTCAAGTCAGTATTTCTTTCTCATACATGTGACACTTCCAAACTCCATGCTCAAGGTTAAGAGTTAGCAAAGTGTTATAATGACTAGATCAATTTCAAAGTCTTATCCATCCATTATGAAAAAAAAATGCTACAGCAAGCAGGACTTTGAAACAAATATTCTGCAGACAGAATAGTTAAAACTGGCTGGACAAAAAAAAAAAAAAAAAAAAAAAAAAAACAGCCTAGAAAGAAAACTGTCTCTGCCACCCAAGACAAAAGTCAATGTATTATTAACCAACTGGTAAACCATCCTCTGGGCTAGAGTAAAAAGACTGAATAATGTATATATAAACTTCTGTTTCTATAATGCATGGCTCACCCTAAACTCTTCAAACACTCTCTGCCTGAATCTTCAAGTCATTTTGGCATTTCCAAAGCTACTTTACAAGCACATTGCCTTTCACTTGTTTCCTTTTTCTAAGATGAGGTTTCATTGTAGGGCTTGACTACAACTCACAACCCAGGGCCAAACAGAAACTTGCCAAATGCTCTTCCACTAAGCTACAGTTAGTTAAATTCCTTTCTTTTCTACATCTTGGTTCAACTCAGTAAAAATATTAACAACCCACAATACAAATATAGTGATAAATAGCTCTGGCTGTTCTGGAACACACTCTATAGACCAGGCTGTCCTCTAATTCAGAGATCCACCTACCTTTGATTAAAGGCCACCACTGCCTGGCTACAAATTCTTTTTTTTTTTTTTTTTACAAATTCTTATTTTATTGAACTCATCTATAGAATTAAATAAGCAAGTATACCATCATATTAAGAACAGAAGAAACTGGGTGTGATGGTGCACACTTTTAATCCCAGCACTCAGGAGGCAAAGGCTGTGAGTTCCATGTCTGCCTGTTCTACATAGTGAATTCTAAGCCAACCAGGCTATAGAGAGAGACCTTGTACTCACCCTGCCACCAAAAAAAAAAAAAAAAAAAAAAAGCCAGAATGGTGGTGCATATCTTTAGTCCCAGCACTGAGAGCTTTAGAGGCAGGTGGATCTCTGAGTTCAAGCCAACCAGTCTACAGACCTGTTCCAGGACAGCCAACCACACAAAGAAACCTTGTCTCAAGAAACCAAAAAGACAAAAAGCAGACTATCCTACCTTCCAAAACAAAGATCACAGAGCAGGAGCATTAGCTTTCACTTGTCCACAGACAATACAGTAAGAACTATTTATGCATATCATTAAGCTTATCTTGGTCGAAATTTCTCCACTACTACAAGGCCGATGAAATAATGCCTAAGGTGGATTCAATCACAAAAAAACGTTTTGCCTTACAAGAGCAAAGGCACCAAATGGAGTGATACATGCCTTTAATCCCAGCACTCAGAAGGCAGAGGCAGGTGGATTTCTCTAAATTCAAGGCCAACCTGGTATCTATATTGAGCTTCAGGACAGCCAGAGCTATGTACAGATCCTGGCAGAGAGAGAGAGAAAAACCAACCAAAGCACCTGCTCTTTCATTCTTTCAACTGTAGGTGGCAACCTAATATTGCTAAGAAAAAAAAGAGATGGCTGAAATTAACTAAAATGTTCAGAGGTTAAGATGAGGTATTATATACATCAATTTGTCTAGTAAGCCTGAAGATGTCGATATGAAAGGGGGTTATTTCCTGAAGCACTATGTTCACGTATCTCAGCAAAAAATGAAATGTACAACAAAAACCATAATGTTGGCTGGGCATGATTGACACAGGCCTTTAAAATCCCAGCATAGACAGACAGACAGATAGATAGGCAGACAGACAGGCAGACAGACAAAAGTATGTGGTAAAACACTTAGCCATTAAACTGGTGGAGGAAAAAAAAACAAGAGAGGGGCAAGGTGTACCCTTAATACTGATACCAAGATTGAATTGAGGTTAGTCTGGGAGAACACTAATTAAAAAAAAGTATAATGACCCGTGTGTGTGTGTGTGTGTGTGTGTGTGTGTGCGTGTGTGTGTGTGCGCGCGCGCGCGCGAGCAAGCCATAATAAAATTCATTACTTTATAGATCAACTTAGAATTAATCATTAGGAGCCAGGTGCAATAGAACACGCCTATAATCCCTGTGAGTTCAAAGCCATCCTGGTCTACAAAGGAGTCCAAGACAGGTTACAAAGAGAAACCCTGACCCTCCCTCCAAAAAATAAATACAGATACATAGACAGGTAACAAAAAATAAAAAATAAAAATAAATTTAACAAAAAGAAAAAAAAAAAAAAAAAAGAGAAGCCTAACATAGTGGTGGCAACACTTATAATCTCAGCACTTTGAAAATGGAAACAGAGGATCTGGTATTTAGGGTCATTCTGAGCTATACTGTGACTTCTGAGACTGACCTGGTGGACTACATAAAAATAAAAAGTAATCTGGACATGGTGGCACAGGGCTTTATTCCCAGAACTGGGGAGTTTGAGGCAGGCAGTTCTCTGGCCAGCCGGGTCTACAGAGTGAGTTCCAGGATAGCCAAAGCCACACAGAGAAACAAACTCTGTACTGAAAAACCAAAAATTTGAGTCAGAAGTGCTGGTGTATACTTATAATGCTTGGGAGGCTAAGACAGGAAAAACACCAGTTTAA